GGTCCCTGGGTTATGGGGCCCACCTCTATAAATAGCAAAAACAAAAGCCCTTGCTCGCTTATTAAAAAAATAGGAAAAGCCCTGTGTTACAGAGGATACTTCATTATGTTTCAATGCTCTCAATGGAATGCCAGGGCCTTATGTGTAAATATAATTAATGATGTTTAAATAGAAAATGGTTTTTAGAAGCAGCAGGACCTGAAGGGTTGAGCAAAATTTTAGACGGATTTGAAGACAAGACAGGTTATGCCCAATGCATTTTATCGTATATGGGACCAGATTTAAAGGAACCAATTTAATTTGTCGGCTAAACATCAGGAGTTATTGTTAAACCAAGAGGACCTGCACATTTTGGCTGGGATCCTATCTTTTAACCAGATGGATTTACAGGAGACGTATTAGTTATGAATATAAAAGATATGGGGAAATGGATAAGGATGTGAAGAATAAAATATCTCATAGACTAAAGGCAATATAAAAATTCATTGATCATTTTCTTGTAAATTGAGTGATATAAAACTATGTGTTTTATAATAAAAGAAATTTCATTAATTTCTAATAGATCCATCGCAGTATATAATGCTTTTGGGTTTTAAATTTTATTTTAGTTTTCTTTTTAAGAATCAATTGCCTTAATTTAGATTAGTCTATTGAAAGCATCTATTTTCTTATGCATGATTAATCTTTATTAGGTAATCTTCCTTTTGAATCAACCTGCTTATAAGTATATAGTTATATTAACATTACACTTATATCATTATTATTGACAAAAGTTTTTCTTTTATTTATTATTTTACTCAAACAAAATTCAAAATGGGATGTTAACTAAACTTAATAAATTAGGTAAACTATATACAAAGTTTAAGTAGATAATAAAAATATCTGAGTTAAAGATTAAATTAACTTTTATTTATCATCAAGAAAGTAGAGTTAATTGTAAGCAAGGGTCTTAAAGCCTGAGAGATGGATAGCATAAAGGTTTGAGAAAAGAGCAGCATCTCAACTCTCCATGAATGTGTGGGGGGTCATTCTTCTCCACCTCTTTAAAAGATACAAATAGACCATAGATCGGATAGGCAAAAAAAAACTCACACCGGTCAATGACGCTACCGCGGCAAAATCCCTCAGATAAGGGATACAAGGTGGAGAGCAAATTAGGAGCAATAATAGAAATTATGTCGACAAGAGATGGCTGCAGTAAGAATGACAATATTAAGGAATGCTAAAACAATAACGCAATTTCATGGACAAAGTGTGTGAACTCATTTTATCATAGAACAGGGAATTTGTGAAAAAAGAGAATAATTTAGTGGATTTTAATCTAAACTTGATATACCGGTGAATTGAGCAGCAGGTACCTTAAAATATTGAAATTTATTCAGAGACGCTGATGATAACCGAGGGCTGTTGAAAGAAATATGTTAGATTTTATATATGCACTGAACTATAAACCTTTATAATAAATATAGGTAAGAGACAAAGTCTTGCTTAGGAAAGTTAAAAACACAAGCAAAGGGTTTGGGTTTGGGTTTGGGTTTGGGTTTGGGTTTGCTTCCAAGCA